CCATCGCAGGTGTGCTCAGGGCTCTCCTGCGCGGGCCTCTACCGGGCTCCTCTGGCTTCACTGCCGCTGGTGCACATGAGCTGCACCCTGGCTGTTTGGTCGTGCCACTGCAGGCTCGCACAAGCCTCTCCTGGTCCCCTCTGGCACCGCTGGCACATGGATCTGCTCCTGGTCCCTTCCGATGCTGCCATCCCCAGCACATGCTGCCACTCTCCCACTACTGGGTCGGTGTGTTGGGGTCTGCGCCAGTTGGAGGAATGACTGGCAGGCTGCTTAGTGCCATGAGGGGCTTCAGAGCTGCACTGCCTCCCCAGGGTTTAGGGCACCTACGTTTCCCCGGGATTCCCAGCTGCTGGCTATGTGTGCCAGGACAACTGCATCCAGCTATGGGGTCCCTGTCTCTTTAAGACTTGCAGAAAGCACTCACTTTTCTTTTGTCTCAGGGGCGCCGGTTGGTTGCGGGGAGCTGCCCACAGGTTTTACTTTTCCGTTTCTCTAATATCCAGCACCCTGTGCACCTTGTGTCTGCGTTCCGGGTGTGGATTTCTAGAGCTGGTTGTTTAGCAGTCCTGGGCTTTCACTCCCTCCCCATTCTGACTCCTTTCTTCCCACCAGGTTTTGGGGTGGGGGAGCGTTCGGGTCCCGCCTGGCCACGGCTTGTATCTTACTCCCTTTGTGTGATGTTGAGTTCTCACAGATGTAGATGTATCCTGGCTGTTGTACGGCATCCACTGGTGTCTCTTTTAGGAATAGTTGTATTTATTGCATTTTCATAAATATATATGTTTTGGGGAGGAGATTTCCTCTGAACTACTCATGCCGCCATCTTCCCATGATCCTACTCTGAAGTTTTTAAATTTAGGAAAGTTAAAAATAGGTGTGGGATGGCCACTAGGGCAAAACTAAAGTTGTATGTACATTATGCTGTTAGTCCTAAGGCCAAAAGGATAGCTGAGGGCCTATTTGATTAACATAATATCATAAGGATTCAGAAACAGTATGAATCATAGTGGTTATTCAATATATGGTGGTAGGACAACCAGGAAGCTACCTGGAAAGAATTTAAGTTAAAGCTATACCTCAATTCCTGGTATACCAGGATATATTCCAAATGGATCAAAGGTTTGAATATTAAAAAAAAAAAAAGAAACTATTAAGATACACTACAATAAACTATAAAAATTATTTTATAACTGTGGCAGGGGAGTGGGGATACAAAATTCAGAAGGCTTAAAAACACTTGGTTACATAAAAAATGCAACATTTCTACACAGTAAAAATGACCATAAACAAAAAAATGCTAAGACAAATGACAGTTCATATCATGCTCATGATTCTAATTCTGTAATACAGAGAGGTGACTTAAAAAAAAAAAACAGCTAAACATAGTCTCAGATGAGATAGTGCACAAAGAAAATGCACTCACCTCTTACTTTGATGAGCAAATCTTCAACTTCATTTATTTAAGAGAAATGGACATTAAAATTACAGTTTGGGCACTTTCTACCCTTTAGAATGAAAAAAATAAGAATGTATGTACTATGTTAGTGAGGATGTGGACATAAGTACTTTTACTGCTCCCTGGGAAGGGTATAAATTAGCACAACTTTTGTGGTATTTTTAAATCTTTTTTGACCAACCCAGTGTAAGAAGTTCCTTTTACATTGTAATCCGTAAGTACATTCATGCATATAGAACTGCACAAAGTTTCACAAAAGAATACGTTCAGTTACTGCATGTGATATACTGGTATTTTCTATTTTTCTCTTTTCTTTCTCTCTTCCTCCCTCCATTTCTGTTCTTTTTTGTTTTGTTTTCTACTACTGATTGTAAGCCACGAAAAATATTTCCCTAGGTTGCTAGGAGAGGAATCTACAGTTTGAAAAACAGTGCTCCATTCAATATACATTGGCAATGCTTTAGATTTCCTGGTGCCTCACCTTATATCCTCTTGGCTCATGTGTGTACTCCAGCTGTGAGCTGCACATGGGTGTCACCTGACAGCACTTTCCTTTAGCCACATCACACATATTTCTCACTTTCTGGCCTGAGACTTCACTGCTGCTCCATCTGGGGTACCTACAGCTCAACAATTTTGATACTTGTGCTAATCTGGGAGTCAAAAGGAGTTAAGCCCCCAGGGGACAAGCTTGACCTGTGAGAGATGGGAGCCAATGGTTAGATGTTTCCTTGTTCTGTCCCTTGGGTAGATAATTCAAAGCACATCCTTTGTTACTCTTCAGAGGATTCCCAGCAAGACTGAGCTGGGATCCCTACTGAATGCTAGATCAGTGCTTCTCAAACCTTAATGTGCATAGAAAACACTTCAGGATCTTGGTTAAATGTAGATTCTAATTTAGTAAGTCAGGGGTGGAGCCTGTGATTCTGTATTTCTGACAAGCTCTAGGTGATGATGCCATGAATCACACTGAGTAGCAAGGAGCTAGAAAACAGACCCTCCCATTGGCTTTCCATATTTCAGGCTCCTAGCTTCACTGACCCAGTGCCTCAGATTCTCTTGGGATCATTTCCCAAAATAAGTCATCTCTATATAGACCTGTTTCTCAGGCTCAGCTATTAAGCAGAACCCATGCTAAGATAAGTATTATTGACCAAACAATTCTATTGCTAGGAATTTATCCTATAGATTCATAAAGATATGTGTGAAATAATGTTATTGACAAGGTCATTCATTACAACATTGTAATAGCAAAATATTGGAAACAATGTAAATATCTGTAAGTGTAGACATAGTTGAATGATTTATGGTAATCCATATTACAGACTATTACATAGTTATTAAAAAGTAACATAGCTTATATTCTAATAAGAAAAATATTCAAGATATATGCTGTTTATAAAAAGGCACAGTACAGAATACTGTTCATATTAATACCTACATTTGAGTAAAATAAAGGAAATATTAACACATATTTCTTGTTTGTATATGCATAAAATAACTCTGAAAAGGTACAAAAAATAATATTGACTGAAAAGAGAGAAAATAAGTAGCTTGGAGACAGGAAGGCGAAGATGACTTTTCTTAATTGTGCCCTTTATATACTGTTGAAGTTAGAACCATATGTTAACTATTGAATTAAAATTTTATGTGCTTGGTCTAGAAGTATACTTTCTTCCTTCTTTGAACCTCAAACTACTCTAAAATTTAATGTTGTCAAATATTCAGATTAGTATGGAATAAGATCACATACCACCTTATCATTTATGTCCATATTTTAGTTTTCCAATATTTCCAAGCTAAATGTTGACAATTATTCTGTGTATCTAGATTTTTAAAAAGATATTACCATCATGGCAGGTAACATTGCATGTGTAGTAAGTACCTTGTAGATACCTGCCAAATTTATCTCAATACCCTACATATGGCTCTACTAACCAGAACAATCCCTATAGCAGAGCAAATCTAACTTATTGCCTTAAACTCTTAGTGATTGCAGTTACTCAGGAAGTCACCAGAGGAAGAAAGGATGATGATACGGAAAAAAAAAATTTGAATTACAACAAAGTATGCTTTTTTTTATTTTAATAAATAAAGCAAGGGAAATATAAATACATTTTTAAATAATTTTTGGTAAATGGGTGAATTTTTAAAGTTTTGATGTCAAGGATTAAATTTAATTTAGTTAGGAATTCACTTAGAGACCCTCAGTCTCTGATGATACTGAGAGATCAACAAATATTTAAGTGCTTACTATGACTCAGTTTTATACTGGGCCCTGGAGATACAATTGTGAGGCAAACAGACATGATTTTATGCTCAATAAGCATACAGCCTAGTGAGAGACACAGATATTAATCAAATAGTTATGTTCATGATTGAATAATTACAAGTGAATGACATGCTCTAAAGGAGAGGGACAGGTTCTCTGATGGCGTTATAAAGAATTTCATATAGGTATAGAAATCTGGGAAAATACAGTGCTTTGAGATCTGAAACATACAGGAGGTGTGCAAAGTTTACATCATGCAGCCTATGTTAAGATGTGTCATTTTCAGATTTATCAGTTACCTATTGCTATGTAACAATCCAAAAATTAAGTGACTTAAAACTACAATTTATTATTTCTCACAATTCTGTAGGTTGACTGAGTGATTCTTCTTATCTTGCCTGAGCTCAATCTTGGAGGTCCTTTCAGCTGGTAGTTAAGCTGGTAGTTAATTTGGAGGCTGTGTCTTCAGCTCCATGCAGTCTTTCTTACCCAGCTTCTCTATGCCTTGTGACTTCTTGAGGTCTAGGCTCTGGAACTTGCACAGTGCTGCTGTGTGCAAGTAAGTGAAAAGGACAGTCTAGATTCAAGGAGTGAGGAAATAAAATCTACCATTTGAGGAATGGAGCTATAGGGAATTTGTGACCATGTTTTTCAATCTGCTATAGTCTATCAGATAAATACTTATTCAGTAAACAGCTATTCACAAGCACTGTTTAAAGAACTTCAAATCAAACATGCACAAGATGTAATAATATATACATTGCCATTTTTTCATTTTCCTTGGAACATGTAGTATTTGTGAATTGTCACTCCATTTTCCATAGAGATCAGTATTTATGTAACATCTTTCTTCCTATGGTACAAAAATGAATCATTATTAATAAAATATTAAAAGAAGAGTTTTACCTAATTAGTGTGGAGGAAGAAAATCACTGGGGGTTATAAGTAATTTTTAGCCTTTCTAAATTTGTAATAAAGAACATGTGTTTTATAGTCAGAAAAAAATTAAGGGTATGTCAGTGTAGTTCTGCAGTTATGCCTGATATATATAAGCACAGAAGTTAAATTAGTAGAGAAAATCTCAGGGAAGTAAGTTTTTCTTTGTAGTTGTATTATGACTTTGCTCTCAGGTAAAATGACAAAATATCAGGTACCTGGAATTTTTTTTTTTTTTAGAAAACATCATAAGAGAACAAAAGTATTTGATTTGCTTAGTTATTTTATGAACACTGATCTAACATTTTCCATCAATATTTTTTAAATTATAAGAATGATAAGAATGCTGCTTTTCTTCTGATGGAAAGTGACAGGCTGATCATCAGTTTACCCAGAGTGAAGTGGACAGAAGTAGCACTGACTATGGCATCTCGGCTTCAAGAAGAATGTATTGCATTCATTATAAAAAACTTATCCAGGATCATTGAGAGTGAAAATTTTGCTCTTCTCTTACAGGTACTACCTCTAAAATTATACCCCACCTTTGTGTTCTAGTTATAATTACATGAGAGTTTTTTAAAATGCAGTTTACCTTTGATTAAATTAGTATGACTTAAATAAATTCCATAGCAGATGGCATGTTTGCATCGGATTTAGAGCAGTGATGGACAGGATTTTTGGCTCAGGATACCGAAGGCAGGAGGGGACAGATTTGAGTGCCCTGGCAAGGTGCAGTGTAACTCTGCTCAACAGTAGCCCTCATCAGCATAAGCTATATTTTAGAAACCAGTCATAAAGATAATGTTTGATCATTAATACAATTATGGTCCATGCAAAATTCTCCATCTTACTGGGGACCTATTTTCTCTAAACAGAGGTTTTAAATAAAGAGCTTATATTACCTGTTTCTAGGTTCTGTTTTGAAGACTATTTTGGTTCTTAAGAGTGTGTGTGTGTGTGTGTGTGCTCACACAGAGATTTTTTTAACAAAGGAAAGGAATTATAATAATAGTTATTATTATAATGATATAATAATTATATTACTATTAACAAAGGAAATAAGATTTGTGGTTGACTTCAGCCAGTTATGAGGAATGGACTGCTGTTATGCCAGACCTTTACATTTCTTACACGTTTTATAGGTTTTCCTACTAAATACCAATTTCTGTGTTTTGTAGTCACAGGCAATGAGCAGTACAGCTGATCTGTTGGACAAAATCTTAAAAGCAATTGAAGAAAACATTACCACTGAGAATAGTTGCTCTCTTCTTATGGCTCTGGACGCATTACTGAGCTCTGACAGTACTAAGGAAATGGTATTGAAAAAAACAAAATTCTTCAATATAATAGAATATTTGAATTATTTTCAGATTTTAAAATATATTCACATTTTAAGTGTTGCATGGTTTGTTGAAACTAAATGATGGATACCTGAGGATTGGTTATATTCTCTACTTTTGTGTATTTTTGTAATTTTCCATAATAAAAATTTTTAATTTCATATCACCCAATGGACTATTATAAGACTTCAGAATTTTGCAGTTTGGCTGGCTAATTTTAAACACAGTTTAGTACTTAGCAATATTAATCGGTACATCATAACAAGTATTTTTCCCTGGCCACTACATTAGATTTCCTAAATATAAAACTTACATTGAATTTTTAAGTTTTTTTTGTATTTATAATCATCACTGTCTTTTATTTTTATAATATATTATTAATTCTTTTTATCTTCAGAAAAAATCGTATTTAAAATTGAATTGACTAGTAAGAAAGCAAAATTTAAGTATTTGTTTTTAAATGCAATTAATCAATGGAAAAAGCTAATTGAAAATATTCACATTTTGTATTTGTTCAACAAGAATGATAAAAATTTCATCATATTTATTACTATTGCATGGAGTATTTGACCTTGTAATGTCATAGTTGATTTGAAAAGGTATTCATGTGAAGGCCATTGGTCATTTAAAATAATGTTTGGTGGAAAGGATAAGGTCTCACTTCACTTTCATGTTCACTATATAATTCTGTTGAGCAGTAAGCCTTCATAAATGCTCCCAACGATGAAAACAGTCTAAGTGATGACATCATTGATATAGCTTAGGAGTAAGCAGATTCGGAAAGGAATAATGACTGGTTGCTATGACAATGTGGCTCTCACCAGCTGCTGATTTGTTGCTTGAACACAGGGTTTTACGTGCAAGATCCAGGCTCTGCGTGATAAGCTGTGGATCTTCCTGGTTCAGTCTTTCTATGCTGTTCGTCACACAGAAAGCTGGAAGCTGATGAGCACAGATGATCAACAGAAAATCCAAGCAGGTATGTTAGTCTTGAGATTTTTTATTCTTATGATCTTTGTGTCAAGAGTTATTTTGAGGGGATTCTAATAAGTGGTAGGATTAATTTTGTTTGCTTCTGTTCAATAATAGCTTGCTAACCGAAACTAGTGAGAGTATGTTTAGGCAGTTTTACTAAATCATGGGGCTTTTTTTTTGCCCTTCTTAGAAAATGAAACTCATTTCCTTAATATATATGTGTGTGTGTGTGTGTGTGTGTTGTGTGTATATATATATATAAAATTTTAATCCTACTCTATGTTAGCAATAATATTCTAGCCTCATTTGCTTAAAAGCAGTCTTGTAAAGAGATTACAAGTACAAGGAAATGTAATTCACATAGAATAGATTACAAAACATATGTTCCCTCTCTTTTTAAATATATTTTGCCATAAACCTTTTCCATCTTTTGCATATGACATCATTTCTTGTGGTTTCGCCTAGATTAGATGGTTTATTTCACAATTGATTGGTTCAGTGATATGGTGTGTGCTATTGCGGAGTGTCCCCCAGGAGCTGCACAGTGGTCTCTGACATTTAATAGTACCATTTGAAACATTAGCATTAAACAAAAGATGTATAATTCTCAGAATGTTTATTTCAAAAATATTAAAATTTTGAGGGTAGAACTAAAAATGGCTTCATGACTATTTTTTGGGTTAAAGCAGGTGCCTCAGAAAAAATATTGGCAGATTCATCAAGTATACTTTTAAAAACATTTTAGTTAAGAGACTGTATTTTGTGAAGCAAACATTTTTGTACTAAACACATGAAAGCCTTATGTGATATAATCTTGACAGTACATTATACATAGATATGTTACATTCTCTAATGGTCTAGCCAGAATATGATTTGCTCTGTATTGTGTTATGACCATAATATGATAGTGTAGCTAGAAGTGATCTGAAGAGTAGTTTTCAAAGAAATTCCGACAAAATACTAAAAAAACAAAATCATGAAATAGCAGAAATCATGAGATGGTCTTTAGAAATTAGAAATTTCTTCCTTGTGACCATTTCTGTACTGATTTTTGGCAGTTTATCTTTACTATAAAATCTAATATATTATGAAGAAATAAGATTGGCATTCCATGAGTAGGTGTCATTCAACTCTCCTCTAATTGGTAGTAAAGTTTATTTTTCTCCATTTTAGAAGATTTCATAATTAAGCTGGGCCTCAACAATGTTTTATTTATTAATTCTTGAAAGTGCTATATATACATAATACATATATATACCTACATATATGTAAAACAATATTATTGGTAATTGTACTAATTGTCAGAAAGAACTTTTCAATCTAATATGTCAGTGTAATAGTAATTTTTTTAACCTTAAATATGTTGAATTATAATGAGCCCTGACTTATGGATAATTACTGCATTGGGAAACCCCAGATAAAAGAATGATTCTAGGTTACCTTTGTTATGACGTTTCTTATATTCTAGTTAAGTTACTGACCTTTGGGAGAAGTCTTACATTAATTTCTTCTTATGTATTATTGTGCAAAGTCATCTGCTTACTACAAATCAGTTCTTACAATGCCATTTCCAGGATCCTGCTTTGTCTTATAGCACAGATCCTATAGAATAGAGATAAAAGATGCATAGTAGAGTTACAGATAATTTATTTTTGAGCAGCTGTTTTAACAAAAATCAGATCATCTTTGGAGATATATATATTTCTTCAAAATATATTTTAAAGCCCCATAACTTTGAAAAGGAGGAAATATATTAGCTAAACTATATTTATAGTTCTCATCCCATTATCTGTTTTCCTGATATCATTCAAATTCTTATATGAAAAATATATATATGTGAGTTCTCCAATAATTCCCCTATAAGCCTAATTTATAAAATGAATTTTTTGTAATTCTAAAAAGAATGATATGGGTTTGAAAATCGTTTCATATTTTATTTTCAGCAGAACCTGATTCCTTTCTCTTCTCTTTCCTTCTTGCTCATGACTTGCCTGCAAAACCAGAAACTATTTGCAGTTAATTTCATCAGAGTATTTTTACAGTTTTTAGGATAAACATTTTCTCATATAATGGTTTACAAAATATTACATTTGCCATGATCTTTAATTTTTTGAAATTTTGAAAACTAAATGAAATCAGTTATCTCTAAAATTTCACAGCTTGAGAAAATTCTGGTTTTTTGTAAATGTATGAATTCTCTCATGAGATTGTATATTTCTTATTTATTAATCTTAACATAAGATGCAAAGGGACCAGGAAATAAGATGAAAATGAGGTTCTTTAAAAAAAGATTATAAAATATAATAGGGAATTATTTATATGTACGTAATTGTTTTCAGCCTTTTTAAAGTTATTTCCATCAAAACATAACCTTTTTCTGGTGGCATGCCCTTTACTTTTATGGTGATAATAGTGTTTCCCAAAAAAATAAATTACTGTTTCTTTCTGCAGCTGCATTCGACAAAGGTGATGATCGAAGACTTGGCAAAAAGCCTATATTCAGTAGCTCTCAGGTACAAATTTTTTAATTTTATAGGTCAAAATGGAAAATTACACCAAATAGTTTAAATTTTATTATTTTATATTTCAGAATAATTTTTAAAAATCTATTTTATTAATGAAAGCTATTTCCTATTGAAAGTAATTTTGAATCTTTTTTAATCAAGTAAACATTCCATAAATTTTTAAATGATGTGAATTTTGATAGCCAGCTGGCTTAGGAAGTGAAATATTGCATACATTTTTATGTCTTTGAAAACTTTTTTGGCAACTAATATATTGGAGCTATTCCAGTAGCTCTAGAAAATTGTCTAGAATTCTAGACCTAATTCCATGTGTATTTTTCTAATTAACCTACTTCACAGAAAAGAGAACTTAGTTGTCCCAGTTTTCTATATACTAAGATTTTAATTGACATAATATATTTCTGGTGTGAAAAAGCAGTTAGTACCAAGGGTATAGTTTTGTTTTACTTTAAAAGCTACTTGGTGTGCTTCTGTGAGGTATCTAAAGTAATTAAACTCAGAAACAAGAAGTGAAATGGTGGTTGCTACGGGCAGTGGGAACAAGGAAAAAGGAAATTGTTGTTCAAGGGTACAGAGTTTCAGTCATGCAAGATGATAAAGTTCTAGAGATCTGTTGCACAAACAAGGTGCATATAGTTAACATAACTGTACTATACACTTAAAAATGGTTTAAGTGGTAGATTTTATTTTTTTACCATGCACAGTGTTACTTGGTGTGTTTGTTAAAATGTGAAATATATTTTCTTCCCTCAGAATGTTATTAATGATTGTAGAGTTTCTCAAGCTAACTTACAGATGGTCACTTAGTAATATATGGAGTATGAAATTATTCTAACTTAGTACATGTATTCCTGTGACATGGAGATACATATTGAGAGTTTCAGTTTGGGATGCAAAGAACATACTGCCCTTGCAGAGTAGAATAGGAAATCTTTCTTTTTCATCAGCCAATAGACAGTAACTCATATACCCCAAGCCACAACTGAGAGCTCTCACGGCTTAAGGCAGAGGTCCAGTTCCCAATATCATGGGTGAGAAACTGTGGGACACTGGAGATTTTTGCCAGTAAACCTCCTAGTACAATTTCCCAAAGTATATTCCACACCATACCAGCTCCATCATATGTTTCATCTAAGAACATCTAGTGTCAACTAAGTTTGAGAATTACTGTATGTGATAGCACCTCTTAGAAACTAATGATGCACATTAGCACCTTAAAGGCTCTGAGAAACACTATAGTGAAAACATTTTTTAATTATTTTACCCAGAATTTCCCCATATTTTATAACCATGGAATACCACAAAACTTCCCTTCAGTTCCACCTCAGCATATTATATAGTTCCACAGAACATACTCTAGGAAATGGTACATTAGGACATTTTTTCTATGTACAGTTCCCTGTTACATCTACTGGTTTTTTTTTTTAAGGCCCCCAGGAATGAGCCTTCCTGCTTTCCTTTCCCCTCTTCTACTGTTATCAACCAGGCTTTTACTCCATCCTTGCCTTAACCGAAAGTGGAACAAAGTGTTAATCCTCTTCCTTACCTTCCTGACTTTCAGGTTGTCCAAGGGTTTATACTGCTAATCACAACAGGAAGGAAACAGGGTGCTATGTTTCCCTCAAAAGGGCAGTAGTATACTGAAACGGGTGCTGGACACAGAATCAGAAGAGTTCAAATCATGACTTCACATTTAGTGTCTGTGTCATCCATGAGCCGTAGTTTCATTATCTGTAAAATGGATTAATAAAATCTAACAGGATTATTGTGAAAATTAAGTGAAATAATTTATGTGCAGTTATTTGGTGTGTAGTAAATACTCAGTAAGTGTACCGTGAATAAATGTATATTCAAATCTGCTGGAGGTGGGAGAAAATTAATGAGATAAGACAGCGAAAGGTTTAAGAAGAGTGCTTTTACTGAAATACTTAATGATAAAATTATATGATGTCTGGGATTTGCTTTAAAATAAAATGAAGGTAGTTATATATGAAAAAAACAAAGAAAGTTGGCCCAGAGCTGATAAGCTGGCTAATGGGTACATGGGGGTTCACTATATTGTTCTGTCTTCTGACTATGTTTAAATTTTTCTATAATACAGTTAAACAGAAAAGGAATAGTACTGAATTGAAAGGATAATCTAAGAGGAATGCTTTAGGTTATCCTCTTGTTCTCATTTTTGTCAATAGCATGTGATGACCTTTCCATATAAGACCTTGAATATAAGATATATATGTAAACTTTGCAATTGTAAGTCAGAGACTGTCTAGAAATATCAATACATGGAATCCTTATCATGCTATGCTATGTTAATGTGAAATTTCTAAAGGAATGTAGTTACCTCATATACTAGATAGATCTCACCCATAATAGGATGCTTTAAAATAGATTCAAGGATAGAGTAATTAAGTGGGATCAGTTTTAATGGTGGGAAAAGGTCTAAAATCAGAAGTCTACCTGGTTTTAAAATAGAGAAATTATATTTTGAGCTAAGATTTGATCAGAAAACAAAAAATATTTTTTTGTTTACTGTTAAAAATGATTTTCAACCCTATTTTATCTTTATAAATATGTAGAATCTTAGAACACTGCATTGAGTAGGACCATTCTCCACCCTGTAGACATGCATAACCCAGAGATGTTAATGACTTCTTAAACATCCAAAGTCAGCTAGAGGCAAAGCTAGGATGGGAATGTAATAATTCCTTTATTAGTGTACCTTGCTTTTTCCCAAACTTAGCCAGTTTAATACTTATTATGAATGTATGTATTAATCTTGAACAACACAGGGGTTAGGAGCACTGACCTCCTGTACAGTCAAATCCATGTATAATTTTTGACTCCAAAAACTTAACTGACAGCTTACTGTTGACTGAAGCCATATTGATAACATACACAATTAACACATATTTAGTATGATATATTTTATATACCATATTCTTACTATAAAGTAAGCTAGAGAAAAGAAAATGATTTTCAAATTGTCACAATTTCCAAACATCTTCCAGTCTATTTACTGCAGAAAATCCATGTAAAAGTGGCATGTGCAGTTCAAACCATATTGTTCAAAGATCAACTATATATGTTACCTTTACCTTGAATAACTTTTAGGGTAATTAGAAGCTTTCTATTTTTAGAAATAATTAGACCTTGAGCTGTGCATCAATATGCTTAGGTTTAAGATCAGTCATCACAATTTCTTCAGTACCCAGTATGTTGTGAACACAGTGCTAAGGCATATAAAGATGAAGACCACACAGGCTCTACCTCATACCTCTACAATCTCATAAAGCTTTCCAAAGAGGGTGAAAAAAGTTTTTACATAATGGCAATATAATCTTAAAACTTTATTTTACAATTTGTACCAATTTTTAACTTTTTGTTGTTCCTTTCCATAGCAAAGTTGGTTCAAACCAAAATGATGAAGTAGGTGCATTTGTCTTCAGTGCCTTTCTATTTTCCCCAATTTACCTATTTCACCTATTTCCTCCAGATAGCCAATACTGTGTTACTATCTTCTTTCTTCCAAAAACCAAACTTTTCAGTTGTAATGTGTTATGTTTCCAAGTGTTTTTTTTTTTTAACACAACTGAATCTTTAGTGATAAAATTTCTGGCATTTGAGATAGGATTGAAGAGAGTATTTTGGTGAAAATCTTTATACTGTCTTTCAAATACGACTTAGGTAGCTGCTTAAAGCAGTAAATCATGAACTCTTAAGTCCTAGTTCCATCCCTTGTCAGCATGGACCTTGGGTAAATCACACACGTGTTTTAATCCCTAGTTTCTTGTCTAAGAAATGGACATAGCAACAGGAACTTCTCATAGGGTTGTTGGGAGGGTTTAGTGAAATGATGTATGAAGGGATTTTAGCACAGAATCTGTTAGTGGGCCCTTAAAAAACAATGGATATTATTCTCATTCACCCAAGGCATCCTGACACCTTTAGATATTAATTTCTACCATAACTTCATAAACTTTAAATACTATGTCTTTTTAAATAGTATTGCCTTTTAATTTTTTATGCTGTATTTCAGATTTGATTCAGGTAGTATGGCCAAAGATATATCCAAATGATCAAAGGTGATTCAAGTCTTATGGATGAGTAAGCTGTGGCACACGTGTATCATGGATTATCACTCAGCCATACTTGCCATTTACAATGCAGATGAACCCAGGGGTATATTAGGCTAGTGAAATCAGAGAAAGATAAAAACCACATGATTTCACTTATCTGTGGAATTTAAAAAAGAAGCCTACAAACAAAACAAATAAATTGATAAAACACAGAGACCAGACTACTGGTTGCCATAGGGAACAGGGGTAGGGGATGGGTAAAATAGGTTAAGGGGGGAAAATTAATGAAAATATTTGATATCTTGATCTGGATGATGGTTATATGAGTATATACACTATGCCAAAATTCATTGAGCTATACACTAAGATTTGTACATTTTATTGTATGTACCTCAGTTTAAAAAAATACATAATCCAAGTTTTGAGTGGCCCTAAATCATTACATGAACTTTTTTTTTTCCTCTTTAAAAACTGGCTTATGGACACACAATAGATGTCGAAGACTTCAGTCAAGTTACAAAGTATTTTTTTTCTTCTTTATAGCAAAGGAGACAAGTTTCTGACTCTGATGTTATAAAAAACAAATTTTGGAAAGGAAATAACAAGAAAGAGTGTTGGAGTTATACCTCTACTAATCAAAAGATGAAATCAGATGGATTAGGAGCATCAGGACATTCATCAAGTACGAATAGAACTACTATAAGTAAAACTTTGAAGCATGATGATGATCTAAAAGAAAAGGATGGTACAAAAATAGCATCAAAAATTACAAAAGAATTAAAAACTGGGGGAAAAAATGTCTCTGGAAGGCCAAAAGCTATAATAAAGCCCCAAACAGAAAACAACGATAATGCAAAGTCAGGAAACATGTCACCTAGACAAGCTGTGGAAAGAACAACAGCAGCAAATGGACAGAAACACTCATTAAATGGGAAAGGAGTGAGAAATCAGGAAGGGAAAATTGCAGGAGCCAGACCCAAGGTACTCACTGGGAACCTAAATGTGAGAGCCGAAGCCAAGCCTGCGAGGAAAGTGACGGGAAAACAGTCTCCTTGCGGCGGCGCTGTGGGACACTCCCGCAGAGCTGCAGATTCCCGGACGGGATCATTCATGCCCACTGAATGCCTGGGTGACCCACAGGAGAATGGATCAATAGGAGAGGAGACATCCTCTGGGCATAAACTGTCTCTTCGTGAATCTCCAGGACAGACAATGAAAAGCAGTATAGAAAGTATTAAAACTTCCACTATAGGTGAGTTTTAGTACTCTAAGTTTTAGTAGCTCCTAGCAATTAAAGTTCCTAGAAAAAGATGAACCTGACTTTTACTTAGTTTCAACTGCCAAAAAAAGTATTTATGTATTCATGTAACCTGAGAGAAAATACACTTCCTTCCACATTAACACTTAATTTTGTATGTAGTGTCTAACCAGTGAACTTAACACATATTTTTACATATTTAGTGTTCTGTCTCCTGACTCACTTTTTCTTAATTTACAGCATCAAAATCTCAACCTGTTTCAAAAGTTACCAATGGAACTCCTGATAAAAAAAGCAGCCATGAACAAGAAACAAGACTTAACCAGTAAGTCTTCATTCATTGCTTTACCTATACATTAGCTTTCTCTGAAAGTTAGTTGTATACTAATTTCTAGTTAAATATTTTTAAGACTTCTTCTTTGTTAGATGAATTAATATATTTACACAATGATATTTTAGAACTTTTATTTATTAAAAGAAGTATATTCATGCAAAATGCTTGATACAAAATGGTAGAAAAATATATTTGTGACACTTGATCGTATCTGATCTAGTTTTATAAACAATGACTTACAAGCATATGGTTTTTGTATATTTTCAGAGATATATATTTTTTATTTCTTTGAGAGAAAATATATTTTGTATATGGGTCTTTTAAAAGTTCTTCCAGGATAGGTAGGTCACAGGGAAGGCAGAACTGCACAGAGAAGACAAATAGTGACTCTGTAGCATCTTAATACACTGATAGACAGTGACTGCAGTGGGGTGGTAGGGGGAATTAATAATATGTGTGAATGTTGAAACCACATGTTTTTCATGTGAAACCTTCATAAGATTATATATCAATGATACCTTAATTAAAAAAAAAAGTTCATGTGTTCAAATCTCCTTGTAATACTGAATGCAAATAATTTTTCTTAGTGTGCCAAAGAAGGTCACTAGCAAAGGCTATAGTGATCCAGTACCACAGGCAATTTTAAAGAAAAGAGGAAATGGCAATGGATTTGCTACAGTTCAGCAGAGAACAAAGAACACCTCATCTAATCTTGCTAAAATTCAAGGTAAAGCTGAAATAGTCCTGGGTATTACATTACTTCCTTGTTTAAACTGAATAAGCAGAACTCTGATTTGGAACTTCAACAGCAAATAAATTATGGCATGGTTTCACTCATTTAATCTTATTTTATTTTATTTTTTATTTTTTTGGTTTCATTCATTTTATATTCATTTCTACTACAGAGATGATATTTTTAGTTTTAGTTTCTGATTTCTACTACATATCAGTTTTAGTTTCTACTGCGTATCTAAGTTGTTACTGAGCTATAATAATGAAATGATAATAAGAATTTTTTTTCATTCAAAATAGTTTTGTTCATGTCTGAGGGAAAAAACAACAATTTCAACATTTCTATTTTATGCTTAGCTTGATTCTTTATTCAACTGTGTAGAACACAATCTTTTTTTCCTCAAAAACTTCAAAGGGAAGACCTTTCCTGTTCTTTTGATACAAGAAAATCAGGTGTTTCCACCCCCAAATATTAATGCAAATCCAATTCTGGCATAAGGATCAAGGCTCTTGAGGAAGAGAGATCCTGTTTTAGTAATTTTACTAAGATGTTGGAATAGTCCCTTTATATTTGTAATAGAAAAATATTTTCTTTTTTTATCATGTCACTAATTCCTAATCTGTAACTGCCCTTTTGATCAGAGATACATTACCATTTCCCATTTCATTGTTTTATTTTATTTTTGTTTAAAGTAATTTAAGAACAAATATTGAATTTCATGCACAAACTTAAAAGTGCATTTTTTAATTTTCTTAGGATCTCAAGGAGAGTCACCAAATTCAGTAAGATCTTCAGTCTCTTCAAGGCAGTCTGATGAAAATATGACAAAATTGGACCACCGTACAACTACAGATAAACAAACACCTAAGAGAAAAATTGTCAAGCAAGGATACACAACTTTGCCTAAGGTTAATGCAAAAATTGTGGCAATTCCTAAAATCCTAAATCAATCTAAGAAAGGTGAGACTTTGAATAGTAAAGATTCAAAACAGAAAATGCTTCCTGGACAGGTTATATTGAAGACTCAGCCTTCTCAAAAACCTTTAAAAAGTGAAACATCTGTTGTCCAAAAAAGTGTGCTTCCTGTTGTACATGATAATAATAGCAAGGGCAGTATTTCTGAACAGAAGCCTCACAAACCTCTAATTAATCTCACATCTGAAATCAGCCATATGGGAGTATTCCAGTCATCATGCAAACTTGATGCACAAGAGCTAATAGACAATCAAGAAAAAGAGAAATTAGTGTTAGAAAGTCAAGATATTTCAAATCTGGATAAATCAACAAAACATGAACTGGAATCAAAACAAATTTATTCAGATAAAAGTGAAACAAAATTTTCCAGTGACAAAGACACAAATCATTGCAACACAACTAAAATGCATTGTCATTCTAATGGCAGTGATAATGTAGATCTAAAACTTTATAGCACTGCTGCCCTAAAATCCATGACTTCAAATCCAAATGAAAAATCCTTGAACTCTAATCCAGTTTGTGATTTAAATTCAACAAATGCAGAACAAATCCATTCACTGTCAGATAGGGAGAATCAAGCAGGGAGAAAAGAAACAAACAAAAAACTAAGCATTAAATATGTGAAAGATGTTTTACCTTGTGTTTCTGAAAGGACAAATGGTACTTTAAATTCTGTTCAAGATGACAGAAACTCTAAAATTCATGTAGAAGAACAGACAGTTCCTAGTCAGTTGTCTGATGACTCCGCTATGAATGAAGACAAACATGCTCCAGCTGACTCAGCTGTTTTCTCTAAGTGTATTTTGGAACAAATATCAGGAAAAAATTATCCTAAAGACATGGAGACAGCAGAAACACCAGACAGCCATGGAAGTCCAGAAACCCCACTCATGAGCCACTGGAGTTCAAGCACCAGTGTCCAGCCTCCGAGAGAGAGCCCTGCATCTGACACGGGCAGTGCCACCACTTCCTCTGATGACATAAAGCCCCGGTCGGAAGACTATGACGCCGGGGGGTCTCAGGACGATGAAGGGTCCACAGACAGAGGCATCTCTAAATGCGGCACCATGTTGTGCCGTGATTTTCTTGGTCGGAGTAGCAGCGATACCAGTACTCCTGAGGAATTAAAAATATATGATAGTAACTTAAGAATTGAAGTGAAAATGAAAAAACAAAGTAGTAATGATCTTTTCCAAGTTAATTCGACAAGTGATGATGAGATTCCTAGGAAAAGGCCAGAAATTTGGTCTCGATCTACAGTAGTCCACCCTAGGGAAAAAGAAAATATTCCACGAGGTAGTGTCCAGTTTGCTCAGGAAGTAGATCAAGTTTCCTCCTCAGCAGATGAAACAGAAGATGAAAGATCTGAAGCTGAAAATTTCTCAACATCTAACTCAGCTCCTCAACAGTTTCAGGGGATAATTAATTTAGCTTTTGAAGATGCAACTGAAAATGAAAGTCAGGAGTTCTGTGCAACTAAAAATTTTAAAAGGTCAGTTTTACTTTCAGTAGATGAATGTGAAGAGCTAGGGTCTGATGAAGGGGAAGTCCATACTCCGTTTCAGCCTTCTATAGATTCTCTTTCTCCTTGTGATGTTTTCGATGTCATTCCTCATGAACATCATGGAGGGACGCGCTATTCCAAATTCTCACAAGGAAGTAAAGGTAGTATTTTAGAATGTAAACAAGGTAAAGGCCATAGTGCATATCCAAATGAAAGCTCTCTCTGGGGTCCTTGTAGCACTGACTCTTCAAGAACAGATAAACAGAGTGCTTCAGCCACAGAAAATAAGTACACAATAGATGTTCTGTCCAAAGGAGGCAGACACCTTCCAGAAGATAAAAAAGAAAACAGTGGAAGCGATGTAGATAGTGACTTTCAGCAATGCAGCAAACTCCCAGATAGTGATATAAAATCTCAAGGAAGGCCATGTCATTTGGAGCTTCATCAGAGAGAACTCAATTCTGACATTCCAAAGAACAGCTCGACAAAATCTCTGGACTCCTGTCGGAGTCAGCTTCTGCCTCAGGAAGGTCAAGGGAGAGAGAACCATTCTACAGCTACTAAAAAAGCTAATATTGCTTTTTCTGCAGGTAATGTACAGAAATAGAAATATTAAGTCCATAAGAAAATGAGTTTATAGACTTTCAAAGTTGTATGTAGTCCTGAATGTTATATTTTAGTTAGATAGAATAATTACATAGCAGATTGAAATTTTAAATGAAAACTTAAATTTCTTAGTAATATAAAAATTAGCTAGTTACTCTGTTGTTTACTTAAAATCCTAGTGCAGATTTAATATCTAGTAAAAATTTTGATTATTAATTAGAACTAACCTAATGAGAGATTTTACATGAAAAAATAAAGAGAAAAACTTAGTTTAATATTGTTTAGTTATTTATGTCTAATTTAACATAAGAATTCTTGCCTATCAGAAGTTTTATTATACATTGGATATTTATGGTCTATGCTAGTATGTATTTCAGAGGGCTGTGCAATAACTATAGTAATATGTAGCTAAAAGCACTTAACTTTTAACTAGATTAATTATTACAATTTATATACATTTTACAGAGATTAAGACTATCAGGATCACTATAATTCTATTCTAAAATTTTAAAGTAAAAAGATAAATTTCCTAAAAGAGATTATATTTAAGAGCAATGATAATATGTGAAAAGAGCTCAGGCTTATTTCATATGTATAGATGATTTCCTGTCTAATTGTTTCGTGTGTTTTGTCTTCCTTATTACAGTAAGTTGAAATAATGACCAAGATTTAATATGCAATAGTGGCTGATTGAGTAGCTATTGTATATGTGAACTAGAAAAATACCGATCAATAGTTCCTGTTCAGCAAAATCATGAGAACTTGGAACTTACACTTTTTTGTTTGTCCTTCCCTGCATCCCCCTTTGCATGTGCAGTATACAAATAAGGCTTTAGATAAAGTGTATTTATTCCCTTTGGAACTCACTTACCTTAAAAGTCACTGTCAAATGACCGTGTGTTTTCTCCTCTTTAAGTTTCTACTGTAGTGAATTAGATATATGTACACATTATATGTTTATGTTTAAATAATTTCTGTTTCCTGTATCACAAGTTTTCAAATTAAAGTATGGAGAATTATTGCTGCCTATGTTGATTTTGCTGTTAAACATTATCCTTGAGTTTTTTTTTTAACAAAGAAAAAGAAATGCCTCAAAAAACTTGTCAATTTTGTATAAATGTCATTTTTCCTTTTCTATTTGTTTTGGACTATACTGTTACACTGTGTTAATAATGTTCTACAAAACTCTGAGGGGTACCAACATGTGCAGTTTTCACATTGTGTAGTATTATGAATTATTTCAGGAGACATAGATGATTGTGACACACTGGCACAAAGCTACTGTGACCATCGGCCTTCAAAAACCCTCTCTCCAATATATGAGATGGATGTAACTGAAGCATTTGAGCAGAAAATGGAATCAGAAATACACGTTACAGACATGGATTTTGAAGATGTTCACTACTTTGCAAAACAAGATTGGACATTATTAAAGCAACTGCTCTCTGAACAGGATTCAAACTTAAATATTACAAATTCTGTTCCTGAAGACTTAAATTTAGCACAGTATCTAATCAATCAGACACTACTTTTAGCACGAGACAGCTCAAAACCTCAGGGTAAAGCACATGTTGACACTTTGAGCAAATGGAGTGAACTAACCTCTCCACTTGATGATTCCTCAGCAAGTATCACCATGGCTAGTTTTTCCTCTGAAGAGTGTTCACCCCAAGGGGAATGGACAATTCTGGAACTGGAAACTCAGCATTAAAAGTATTAACACTTTGGAAAATTTTGAATTATGCCACCACTTTATTTTTTGATGCTTCTATTATATCTAAATGACAGTTGTATTAACCAGAGATAGATTGTCCTTAATATTGAGGGATTCTTTCCACTTTACTGAGGTAAACATAGTTTATTTATTAATATGATATCACATATAGAAAGTGTTTTTCTAAAATTTTTAAGCATGTTTTCTTAATTATTAGACAAATTAGAAGACTTATAAGGAAACCCATCCTTCAGTTTTCTTTCCTAACTGATCTGTTATTACTTGTTTATCATTCAAGAATTTAAAATGTGAATGCACAAGTAGATCAGTACATTTTTATTCTGCATATGGTAACACAGTAATTTAACAATAAAAACTTACTGTGCTTGTGTCAGTTTATGTAGAGTTTATCTGTAACACTGAAACTCAGGTTGGTGCGCTTGAGGCTGATAGCCAAATATTAGCAAAAACCTTTACTTTCCTAACAATCCAGGTCCAGGATATTGTGAAGTAAATGCATCAAACTTCAATCACATTGTAACTAAAGGAAATCCAGAGAAAGACATATGCCCTTGTTTAAAAGAAGTGGGAAAATTGTCCATCTGTTCTATCTGTGTAGTTACAGTTACTATCAATTTTCCATTCCATATTAAAGAGATTTTGGAACTGCACCTGCAACAGACTTACACTAAATACTTACTTGAAAATGGGTACAAGAGGCATTTGAGTTACTGAGTTAAATTTGCTACTGGGGAGTGAACACTTGGGTACCTACTTAGTAGTGGTGGGCATTGCCCTTAGGATAATGAGACTTAGTAGAATTAGCCTCTCAGGCTCTTTTTGTTTTGTTATTTTAATGAGGTACATATAGTAAAACACACAAACCTTCATGTACAGCTTGATGAATTTTGACATGTACCTACACTCACATAACCATTCCTCTCTCAAAGCTTTATAACTAACTTGTAATTTTTCTAAAATACACTAGAAGTCAGGAAACCTTTTGGTTGAGAATTCCTTTTCTAAATTAACAGTTTTTAACAAATAATCAACAAGAGAGTCAATCTCAATAATCACTAAGGCATGATCATTTGTTATTCTTATACTAACTTGTTATACTACAAATTTGCTATACCTTTTTTAACTAGAAGCTCTGCAGGGGGCACTCATTCATTCAGTCAAGAAATGGGCATTGGTTCTAGACATTCAGGAGCAAAGGTTTGATTCCTCTCCCCTTTCCTCGCAAAAAAGAGTACCGTTTCTAGTGACAGGAAAAACCATACAAGAAAAAGTTTTAATACATCGCAACAACTTTGTATTTTTGAGCTGGGTGGGAATTTAGAGGTTAGTGTGATCCCTTCAAATTCCAAAGGAGGGTTCTGAAGCCCAGAGGAATTAAGGTAGCCCAAGGTCTCGCAGGTAATTTGTGGGCTAGAATCCATTCTTTCATTTCAGTTTGATGTTATTTCTACTACATAATACAGTTCATTTGATTTTTACCATAAAACCTGAGTGCAAATATAGTTCATAGTACAAAGAAGTGACATATGATAGAGTCAGAAACAGCACAAATTTCCAAAACATATTCTTTATCTCCAAATGTGAAATTGTTTTAAATTTTATCTTTAATAAACTACCTCAGAAGTTCACAAATTTATAATTGAAGCTTTTTTCTTTCCCAATTTCAAGGTCTTGAAAACTTTCTTCTTAAACTATTAGATATTAAACAGCTATTCATTTTCATGTCACATATGCAAATAGATAATAGGGAGGGCATTTTACTTAAGTAGTGACCTCTTAGGTAATTTAAGGATATGTGTGTGCTCGTACCATATTCTGGGATTCCTTGGGCTAGTTCTTCATTATTCAGCAAACATATATTGAAAAATAATTGCTAACATTTATTTAGCCTTTATTGTATGTCACTGTGCTAAGTAAATACATTAAAATTTAATTCTCAAGAATTCTATAAGGTATGTCTTCTTATCTTTATTTTACACGTGAGGAAACTGATGTATAGTCATTATTGTGAATGAGCCACCCTAGTGGAAGAAACTAAAAAAGAAATAGCACACTATATTACTATTTCGTAAGATAACAGTTGTATATGGTCAGAGTTGTGGAAGCCCAGAGGGGGAAGCTACGAACAGCTTCTCAGGAAGAGATGAGAGAAAGCTGCCTAGAGTGCATAACCTTCAGTAAGTGCTTCAGAATTTTTATAAAGAAGGGGTTTAATGGCTACAATCTAGTTAAAAGAGTAGGCCAGGGATCTTGGCTTGAAGATGCAGTTGTATAGAAAGTCCTTTGCTTTTACTTAAATGGTATGTTGCAGATCAATAAAAATAGAACTATTTTTATTTTTTTAGTTGTATTTTTTTATTAAAGTTTCATTGATATACAATCTTATGATGGTTTCATATAACTGTAGTTTTAACATTCACCCATATTATCAAGTCCTCACCCCCTCTATTGTGGTCACTGTCCATCGCATAGTAAGATGCTATAGAGTCATTACTTGTCAAAAATAGAAGTATTTTTAAAAGGTGCTTTTACAGTTTACATGCAATTGTAAAAACTTCAATAATCTGTACCAAAGAAAATCTTTTTATTTTTATTTTGATTTAGGTTGCTTGTGGAGGACTGATAAAGATTCTGGAGAGAGTCTAAAAGCATAGTCTCTGTCCTTGAACATCTCAGTTTTGTGAGAAAGAGATTTTTAAGCAAAAATTTCAAAATTGTGATGTTAAGTGTCATAATAAAACACTATACAAAGTGTATATATAAAACACTGGTATATATAAAACACTATACCAGGGTATAGAAGAGAAGGAAATAATGGACTGGTACTCAGGTAAGTTCCCTTATTATTTTTGGATTAGTAGGAGTTCACAAGACAAAGGAGGCACACTCTTGGCAGAAAACAGTTTAGAGGCAGTGGCAAATTCTGGTTGCTCCATGTGGCTGGAAAGGAGAAGAATGGATGGTAAGGGCAACAGATGCAGTCCCAACAGGGATGGAGAGTCCAGATGATAACATGATCAGGCTTCCATTTTTGAA